GATGATATTAAAGAGTTGGTGTCCTCATTGGATGATGTTCAATTCCTATTTGTTAAACGATCTGCGAATTGTGCCGCCCACGCTGTTGCTAGCGAGGCTTTTTCTGAGTCAGGTTGTGGGGAGTGGTTTGATACTCCCCCTTTTCCTTGTAAACTGTCTTATTCGTGATTTAATGTGTTAATCTTTTAGCCTTAAAAAAAAAAAAAAAAAAAAAAAAAAAAAAAAAAAAAAGAAAACCCTGTGATAGCGTAGCTTTGTGCGTAGTTCTCGTGGTGTAGGAGTACAGCTTGGTGCGAAGTACTCGGGAAGGCGGAGTAACAAGATGAGCTTGTGAAAAACCTTGGTGGAGTGTAGCTTTGCGCGAAGCACTCGGGACAGTGTCGGCGGGCACTGATTCACTATTGTATCTGGGTGATCGAAGAATAGTGAATTTCCTCCTTGGAGTGAAAGGAGAAGAGTGGATTAGGAGAATTACACCATCTCCGAACCACTATAAATCTCTCTCTCTCTCTTTACTTTACTTATTGCTCACTTATTTATCTGCATGCCTTAACTACGAACTAACATGTAACGATTTATCGCATATCTTTATTAGTCTGGGTTTAATAGTTCCCACGCTTGCATGCGAACCATCTTTTGCACACATCATCCTTATATCATATCAAGTCATTCTAACGTGTTGCATGTTTAGAATCTCTCTTTGAGCACCGCACAAATAAGCATAACTCTTTACCATTAACTATTCCGCTGTGCATACTCTAAGTTGTTAAGTTCTTTATACTTGTTATTTAGAGTTGAAATTACCAAAATGTTGTGCATCCAAGAAAAGTTTGAAAAGTTAGAGAAGTTTATTCACCCCCTCTAGACTTCTCGACCACCCATTCGGGACCAACATAGACACATATATGTATTTGAATAGAACCGGTTCTCACATACTTGTATTTGAATAGAACCGGTTCTCACATACTTGTATTCGAATACAAACATTACAACGAAATTAAACCTAATCAGAATACTTTTTCCAGTATACATCTTAGGACTTTCTTGGCTCTTATATACATGCTTGGTCGTAAAACAAGAATTGAAGCACAATCAAAGTTAGGGTGGTGCATACATATAAAACCCTAGAAAGAAAAGGCTCTTCTACAATCAAGTGCAAAGAGTTCTTCCATGATCAAGAGGTATTTACATCTGCATGCCTGATTGTTGATTACAAATCTTTTTTTTTTTTAATGCATATGCACAGTCCAGATTGCATTTTTTTTAACATGGCAGTAAAAAGGAGATGGTTGTACAATGCATGATCCTGTTGGATGCAATTTAGTGGTAAAAAAAATGAAGTACCAAGAGGCAAGAGAACATGCATTCTATATGAAATTTTCAGTAAGATCTATAACTATAAAATAGGACCCTTTTATGAATAATATTACTATTTCTATACTTTAAATAATCAGTCCTATATGCCTTGTGGAGAAACACTCTTCTCTTTCTTTATCTTGATTTATGTTTCTATCCTTTAAAATACAATTTATTGTCATGTAGGCAGGCTGCTGTGAAGGAATCATATTTCAGGACAGTATGATAATAACTAATAAGCTCTAATAATCAATGCAGAACAATATTAAATGTGTATACAACTGTTACTATTCCAAGATGATATGCAGTGGGATACCACTATTTGAGTTGTACGATTCAATTTGATGAAACAACAAAATAGTGAAAGGATGGAGAAACTAACATGCTCAGCATGTTAGATATACAATAGTCTAACTATAATAAACCATAGTATACGAGAAACCTGACTCGTATGATAGCGAAAACGTAGCCATGTAGATCTCCAGCCATAGTTGATGTTCCTGTTGTGTTGCCTCTTAACGGTAGACCGTTAGCCATGTTTTGCCTCAGACCTGACTCAGAACCCTAGATGGTGTATTGGTATCTACTGAGCAGTCTGAGTACCGTAACTGAATGTGCTATCTAATCTATAATCCTGTATCCCATCAATCCAGGTTATATTAGGCACAGAGTTTGGTTGACTAACAACTACTAGTTATTAAGTCCAACCAGACTACTTAATAAGCCTAATCAACTTGCACCACTTAATTAAGGCCTTAATATATAATATATAATATATATTATTAGGGAAAATCTTACACAACAGTGATATGAAGGAAGATGAAACATTATGGGGACAACAAAGGTACCATCTGTTCATATCCTCTCAATGTTTGTTCTTAAAAAATATTGAATGTGCAGCAAAAGAAAGTGATATACCTAGGTCGGAGACAACGTATAACATCAGATTTTAAAGGACAAAGAAACTAATATGTAGTTTAAGATAAAATACGAAGTAGAGTAACCTGCGATGTGAAGGCGATGGTGTGGTAATACACTTTACCGTCTGCAGGTGACCTATAAGTTGCCGTTGCCTAAACCCATTGACATAAACATAAACTAATCGAATCACAAAATCAAGCTCCCAGCGGCTCAGAATCACTCGAACAGCCGATGTTCTCTTACAAGTAGTATTGACCGAGACAGAAGGATTTTGAATATAATTACGAGTAAAAGACAATTTTGGTCCTAGACTTATAGTGGCACGGACAATTTTAGTCCTTTATAAAAAAATCAGACAATTTTTGGACACTCTTATTATGACGAGGACAATTTTGGTCCTCCGTCTATATTTCTGTTAAATGACCGTTTGAGAGAAGGGCAATTGCGTCAATTCACTCCATCTTCTTCTCCAACCTTCAATTCTCTGACTTCCCAAAAAAAACAAAAAAAAAAAAAATCTTCAATTCTTTGTAAGTTGAACTAAATTTCAGTGGGTGATGATTTGAACAAGATAAAACACCTCTTAAAATTTTGACTTTTCAATCTATCTAAAAGCCTGCACCATTTCACTCTCTTCGTCTCTAAACCTCTCCTCTCATTCCAAAATGGATTCCCAAACAGAGCATACCCTTTCGAGAAATAGAGACCTCTCTCAGTTACTCCCTTCCTTTTTCGGCATCCCAAACCCTAACCCACTCCAAAATTCCTCGGACCCAGATCAGAAGACCAAAGGATTTCCCATCGCGCGTGACCAGATCGTCCTCATAAACCCGGTGACCCAAGGCATGATTGTCCTTGCCGAGTGTGGAGATTGGCGATGGCGAAGAGAACAATGAATGTGCGATTTGCTTGGAAGTGTGGGGTTTGGGTGGAGTGGCTAAAGAAATGTCTTGTAAGCACATATTTCACCACAAGTGTATTGATAAGTGGCTGTAGATTCATGGGTCTTGCCCAGTTTGTAGGTTCAAAATGCCAACCCAAAAAAATTGAAGGTTGAACACACAAAGAATTAAAGGTTCACTGGAAAGTCATCGAACTCCAGTGAAATTAAGTTCATCTTACAGAGAATTGAAGGTGGAAGACGAGATAGAGTGAATTGACGCAATTGTCCTCCTCTTTGACAGCCATCTAACAGAAATATAGACGGAGGACCAAAATTGTCCTCGTCATAATAAGAGTGTCCAAAAATTGTCTGATTTTTTTATAAAGGACTAAAATTGTCTGTGCCACTATAAGTCTAGGACCAAAATTGTCTTTTACTCTATAATTACAGAACAAAGACCACCTAGGGCGAGGGAGTAAATATATCAAGTTCTTAAAGTTGAACTACCGGAAAAAATGGCGTATGCTACTGGCTTAACAGATCTACGCTGATGCTTCGAGTCTAATGGAAGACTCTGGAAGGTGATGTTCAAAGCTTAGAGAGAACATAGAGTGAGTGATAAGAGGGAGAGTGTGTGATTTTCTCAAATTAAATTGTGTAATTCCTTAATTTGTATAACGATGTCAAAATTTTAATTGGTATATTTATTTGTTTTTTTTTTTAATTTTTTTTTTATTACCACTGACTCTATTTTGAATTATGATGTAGTATTTATTTTATACTTTCTTTGGGTACGGTGGTTGAAAGAGTCAATACCTTTCCACTGGAATTTGAATTCTGTAACCTTCTCTCTGGGGGGAGTCATAGATGTGCCATTTGAGTATAATGTGCTTGGCTTGAAGATTAATCCTTTATTATGTTTATTAAGTACATGTTTCATGTTTGGTAGAGAATGAATGTTTAATAGGGGTTAAGAATAAATTTGTAATGCATCCAAAAGTGTATGGTATCTTCTGAGCATCAATTAGTACGGTATATTGAGTGTGTTGGAAGATGGTTAGACCATAATAATTTGTAATACATCAACTACATATTAATGTTGTTTATGAAGAAGTTTTTAATTAATAATTTGTAATTTTAAGTCTCCCCACTTCTTAATAAATTATAATATAACTTTTGTATTTTCTTTAATTTGTCTATTTGGTTTTTATATTTAAATTTATAATTCAATCACTGTTTTTGTTATCAAATCAAAATAGGTATTTATCATTCTAATCTTCTTTCTTACTGTTACTATATAACAAAATACTTATAATATTTAGTTCGTGCATCGCACGGGTATCATACTAGTATATATATACACACATTTATTTATTTCTTATTTTACCCCTAATTAAATTTATTTCCTATTTCACTGCCACCATCACCCCACTGTCACCGCCGCCACCACCACATATTTTTATAAGGGTATTTATGTCCTTTAAAACATATTTAATTCTTAAAGTCTATTCCTTCCGCGAACCAATCAATAAAATACAATTTCTATTTTATTCATTGTCTATTTCATTCCTTATGAAATAACATTCCTATTACCCCAAAATTCATTCCGTGAACCAAACGTGTTGTTAATGTGCAATCCAACTATCAGCATAGACTTTTAGTTGAGATGGAACATATGCTTAAATTATTATAATAAAAGGTCATAAGTTCAATTCTAACCAACATTTTTCCGATCGAACCCATAGCATAAGGTCTTCTTAATAATTTATTTCTTTAATGCAATTTGAAAACAATTATACAAGAGTTAAATTTATTCCGTGCACCATAAAAATTAAAATAAAAAAAAAAAAGAATGGAAAAATAAAAACTAGCCTATAGATACGGATTCTTGTGGGAGTTCTTACAATTAATAATTCATATCCACCCATTAAAAAAAAAAAAAAAAACAAGGCTCAGAAATATAAAAATATATGGATGAAAATGTTTGTTCTTGAACAACATTCGATATTTCCAGCAGCAGATGTGAACTGTGAAGTGTGACAAGAATCTGCACGAACTGTTTTGTGTTCATTACACTATGAACCATATGTAAGCAGGGCGGTTCTAATAAAAATTTGGGACCTCCACAATACCTTAATTTGAGATTTTATTTTCAAGTAATTTTTATATACTTGTTTAAAAAGCTGTATCAAAATATAAATATTGTATAAAAATACATCTAAAATGTCATTTAACAAGTGATATGCGTCGTGCACATTTAGACACAGTGGCGGAGCTACATGTGTGCTCCAGGGGGCCTTCCCCCCCCCCACCCCCCCAAATTTTTCTTCTTTTTTTATTAGTATTGAGCAACCAGGGGACCTTGGCCTCCAAAAAATATATATATATTAATATATAATAATATTTGTGGCTTCTCTCACCAAAATATTTTCTCCCTCCAAAAAAACTTATAGAGTACAATTATTATTGTGTGGACCATATTTTGTATAGTGTAAAATAATATAAATTCAGTATAAAAATAATGTACATTTTATTCAGCAGATGTACATTATTTTTGTATTGAGTGTACATTATATTGTATAATGTACATTCAGTACAAAAATAATGTACATTTAGTATATTAAAAATGTACATTTTGTTATGGTCCACATAACACTATGTGGACCATGGTCCACACAATAATTTACTTCTAGAGTATGCTTTATATTCAAACTATCCAAACCAAACAGGCAGACAACAAATACACATGTAATTTCTATTCAATTTCAAAGCTGAAGTCTATAGGTAATTTTTTTTTTTATTCTTTAAATCTTTGGATATTTTAAATAAATTATTGTTTATTGGAGATGGATTCATCAATCCTCACCACATCAAAAAGTTTAGATGTTGTAATTAAATGGTAGCTAAATTCTCTCTTTCGTTTTCTCAGTTGATGATGTCAATTGCGGTGAACTCAGGCTACGAACAATGACGGCGGGATCATCTCTTTTGTGATTGGCCCCCCCGTATTCATAAATCCTGGTTCCGCCCCTCTTTAGACACAAAATCATCTATCAAACTTTTGATATCAACTCCTTCAAAAGTTCATTTTCAATAGAGATTAAAGCTAGTCCATTGATTCTCTTGCAACACACTTGATCGTAATTAAGATTTCAACAATTTCAACTTTTAAAAACTCTTTTCTGCAGAGGCAACGGTAATTGGGATAGTTAATAATATTCGATATGCAATAGTAGCATTTGGAAAACAAACCATCTGTTTCAATGACTTCAATATATTCACTACCCTCAATGTTGCAAAACACGTTAGGCGCGGATTTTTTTATTTTTTTTATTTTTTTTAATTAAAATTTAAAAAATAGCAAAATTCAGTAATAAAACATAAGGTTCCCATAGTTATTTCTAGGAAACTATTTACGTAAGTGGTCGTAAAATTTTTCAAAATATTGTTTTAAACCATCTAAATACATTAAAAAAAAAAAACTAAAATTAAGAGCTAAAGAAGCATTTTTTTTTTTTTTTGAAAAATTAGTGGGCCAAACCGATCTCGAAAAAAATACGCGATTTGAAAAAAAAACTGTCCAAAACAGACAACCGAGTCAAAAGTTACGCCTTCGCAAAGCTTTATACCCAAAAAAAAAAAAAAAAAAAAAAAAAAAAACGGTGGCTAGGCAGCCGCATAACCGGCCAGTCGCGGAGGAGTCCGATTCTGGCCTTCCTCGCGGCGGTCGGGGGCCGCCTAGGAGCGATTTTTGCAACACTGACTACCCTTATCTTTTCTTTTGATAAAACCACTCTAACCAATTTTAGCTCAATATACAATCCATTCCCATCAATATCATCACACTGTTCATCTCTCTTAAGAGCTGCATGCTAATTGAGATTTGGGAATTGAATTAAAAAATAAAAATAATGGTAATTATTGCTATTTAGCATAAAGTCGCGGTCGAAGATGTGTAATTGTTATTTGAGATTTGAATTGGGAATTATCATTCTTAATTAACAATGGTACTTGTTGGTTGACCAAAAAAAAAAAAACAATGGTACTTGTCAATTGAGATTTAGGAATATATATATATATATATATATATATATATATATATATATATATATATATATATATATATATATAATGCTTTTTTTAAATAAGTACTTTAAAGTATGTTAAAGCAAGATTATATTGGAATTGTTCATGCATAGATAATTCTTCCAAAAGGTTGAACCCCAACCCTAAGGGCCCCCCACACCCCGGCACGACAGAGCATTTGAGAGGTTCATGCATAGATAATTGAATGTTGAATTTGCGTAGTTAAATAGGTAATTCTAAGTTTACAAATGCAAGATAATATAGTCAAGATTGATTATAATTGTCAATAAAATAATTGTATAGGTATGGTTGAAACCAAATACGGGACATAAGGGAGAGCAAATATAATTTAGGGCATAAAATATTAAATATATACTAATATTGAAGAGTTAACTGCTGATTGCCAAACAATGATTGGCTTAATTATATTTTTTATTTTTTTAAAAACAGTTGTTGTTGTTGTCATTATTATTATTATTATTATTATTATTATTATTATTATTATTATTATTATTATTATTATTATTATTATTATTATTATTATTATTATTATGTATATCTTTGGGTCATTTTAAATGTTAATCTAAATAGCTAATTTTTTCAAATATCTTTTTACCAATCGTTGATATAATTCGCTGGTCAAATTCGCTAATATAATCCGCTAACCGCTAACTGCTAATTGTCAAATAAGGACATTGCGAGATAGTTCTCACTTCTCACTTTAATTTGTTGTGTGATTTGAATACTCTCTTTGTCAACAAATCCTTCAAGTAGTTAATATGATTGACTTTATTAATTATGTTTTTTTTATTGTTTTTTTTCATGGTATTAATAAAATACTTGGTAAATAAATATATAGCATTATTTTGTATATAAATTTGATATTTAATTAAAAAAAAATAGTGCACAAAAAAAGATAATAGACAATGTAGTGAATATAATCAATTGATGAATTTGAATGTAAAGAATTTTTACATTGGAGAAAAATAAAGACAATATAACTAAAAAATTATTTCTCTTAATTAATTGATTGATAATGAATATTTTTTTTTAATAAAGACATTGTAGGGACAATCTAGCGAATATAATCAAATTTGAATGTAAAGAATTTTTATATCGGAGAAAAATAAAGACAATATAACTAATGAAATTATTTATCTTATTTAATTTATTGATAATGAATATTTAATTTTAATAAAGACATTGTAGACTGTTAGGAATATTGTAAAGTTTTGATGAGCTAAATGTATTTTAGTATTCCCCATTTTATTTCTATTTGAGTCAGTCTGGTTCACAGAGTATGGTGCACCCATGCCATGAAAGCCTACGTGAAATTGCTAAAGGTACTTATGGTTAAGCGGGATTATAGCTTAACACATTTAAGCTGCATACAAGTCACCAAAGGTTAAGCTAGCAGAGATGGAAGAAGACTTGGAAGGGAAAATCAAGTGACCTAGAGTTCGACTCTTATCTCAAGCAAAGTATTTTTAGCTTGTTGTAACAAGGTAGCTTGTAACAAGGCAGGGCAAGTTACAAACGTAACACGGAATGGCGAGTTACAATTGTGACAAGGTACCAAGCTTGTAAAAGGTTGACAAGGAAAAGAAGTATAAGCAATTGGTTACACATATTACACTAGTCAAGATGGATGAAGACATGTTTATTCACATTGCTTCGTCTGCCATTAAAACTATTGAAAGCTGCAGCCAAGCCTTCCTCATTACTGGGATCTTGGCCAGAGTGTACTGCGTTAGCATGATTAATATCCAGGTTTCCCAAGCTCAGATTGGTTAGGTTAATCTGTCTTTCTAACTTTTCCGCCATTACAAAAACCTTATAAATCTCAGGTAGGGGATCCAACACAAGAACATTCGATTTCAGGCTATTGAAATCATCATTTAGACCTTGTAGAAAACGGATTACCTGGTCCGTGTCTCTGTCTTTTCTGATTTGATCCACTAAATTGCAGGAACATCTTGGAACGCATCTACAAACGGGAAGAGGCCTCAATGTATTCAATTCTTCCCACAGAGTTCGCGATTTGGTGTAGTAATCGCTTACTGATAATGACTGCTGCTTCAAGCTATATATGTCATTTTGTAGAATTGCGATCCTCTGAGCATCATGTTGTGAAAAACGTCTACTTAAATCCTCCCAAATCTCTCTGCTACTGTTAAAGTGTATCACACTTTGGGCTATGGACGGGTGCACTGACTTGAACAGCCATGAACACACCAAGAGGTTGCACGTCGCCACATGGGATACTGAGCGCTGTCTCTGCCTGGAGCTGTCGTACTGCCATCAACCAAACACCATTTGTTTTTAACTTCAAGTGCAATTCTCATGGAAATTGACCAGGTTCAATAGTTGGAACTTCCGATTAGGGGCGGATTGACCAAAATCGAGCTCGGATTGTCATTAGCGCCTAGGAGAAAAGAATTCTCCGATTCTTCTGAAATTAGGTTTCCCTGAGGGCGATTGAAGACGTTCCGCTGCGGAACGAGCTCTGGAGTGGTTTGAACGGGCGATTGGCCGGTTGGAGAGGCACCTTGTGTCTCCGGACTGTTGTTTCCGACGCCGGATGCGGCGGCGGCGTATGAACGGTATCGATGCTCTGATACCATAACGGAATGCGTGGAGAAGGAAAGGAAAATATGTTCAGAACATTGAAGAAAGTAATTGTGTATTGAATCTATCTCTTGAGCACGGTTACAGAGCTTTTAAGTATATGGAAGGAGACCGTTAAGACAGTTTAAGAGGTTAAGAGGTTATAACTATCACAAACAGATCCTTCTAAGTGTTGTCATTAGCTCCGTCTTCTAGCTCACGTGCACTGCCCTCTAATACTTAGAATAATAATTTTGATTATTAGCCTAGTACTTATATATAGTTGTACAAACTAACATTAACTTTGGATTAACTCTTTATTATTCAGGATTTTTTTTTTTTAAAATAACTTAGAATAATAATTTTGATTATTAGCCTAGTACTTATATATAGTT